GGTCAGACAAGGCCCATTGGAGGAAGTAGAATGTAGGTAGGGCAGAGTTGTAGTGAGACCGGACTTGGAATAAAACTAAACAGCATTAGGCACTCAGCCCTGTAGCAGAGGTGAGATTCTGATAAATAGAGATGCATCATTCTCACACAAAATTTATGTTGAACAAGCAGTACATAAAGTATAAGAAGAAAACCACTTTATTTTTGTCTTTCACTGGTTCTTTCAATCAACTCTGTGGGGCCTACTAGTCTACTAGTTTTCAATCAGGGGTAGGAGAAGTTCTCAAGAATTTTCTAGTCACTCTTGAGTAATACACACAATTCTAGGGGTCATTTCAAGTCACATAATTATAATTTCAGATTAGCTTTAAAATGTCAGCCTTACATAGTAGTCAAAATTTCAGATTTGCTTCTAAGTTGAGTCTTCTTCCCCTCCTCTGGTTTGGGCCTGAAGTCTAGGAAGGAAAGGGTTACTCTTCCCTCACATCTGTTCTTCTGACTGATCATGTTTCAACCTCTCTAGGGCTGAAACACAGTAAGGGTACTAGGTCAAGGGAGCAAAAAAGTTTCTACTTACCGGTAAAGTTACATTTTGTAATCTCTGTTTTTGCACAAGTTTAAAGTGACTTTTTCTGATGAGCTTTCACATGGTTCTTCAGAGATTTTTGGAGATCTCTTATCTTTAACTCCTTGGCAGGGCAAATGCAAACCTTTGGCTGGTCACTTCCTTTTCCCTTCATTTTCTAGAAATCTAGGAGATCCTCAGCTTCTCTCTGGTTAGGTTTCTAGGCCACCCTCTGGCATAGGACCTAAGATGACCCCACGCCAGCTTGCTCTCTGGATCCACTTCTGGTCCCCAAAAAACACTCATGCATTCACCCATTGACCTGACAGACTCTGGAAGGGCTGACCTCCCTCCTATCATGGGCACTTCTCCATCCTGCCACCATCAAAGCAACCGGTAGTCTTTCTCTCACACTTTAGACTATTCTGTGCTCCTCAGGTGCAGGGAACATACATTAAGCTCCGTGTAGACCTCTTGAAGGCCCCTTTCCCTAAGCTTGTTAAAAGTTCAGACACTCCAATCCCTTTTCTTGAGGGTAGAAGTAATGACCAAAAAAAAAAAAACAAAAAACAAAAAAAAAAACCAGCTCTAAAATTCTTCTTCACCTGTTTCCAATTCTTGACTCTTTTCCACCCAAAATGTGAAGGAGGAGTTTGAGTCATCTAGCTTGTTTTCTGTCATTTCTTTTGAAAATAATTTAACATGGCAAAGCCTTTTGCTTTCAGCTGTGGCATCCCTTTTAACATCTTTTGATGTTTGGATATCCATCTTCAAAGCAAAAAAAGCTTGTATGATCCCTCTTGGCTATTCCCACTTGATAGAACAACCTAACCTTCAGCGATCACCTGGGGTGAGCTGGGGTAGGGACAGGAGCAGACACAGCCACCTACGGTGGAACAATATATGGTCAACTTCTCCAGTATATTTCTGGTGGATTCTCTTGTCCTAGAGGCCTACTCAAATGCCAGTTATCTTTCCAAATGTGATCTGTGCACTAAACCAAGACAAAAATCTTCTTCTTCTTCACAGATTCAAACATTTCAAATGCCCAAATTCATTTTATTTCTATTCCACAACAAAACCAACCTTCCTAGATGAAACCTGTTTGATTTCCATTCAATATACATTCTTCTGTTTGAGTTCATGCCCATGAAATGAGAAGCTTATAGCAAGAGTGCTAACAGAATGCAAAAATCTTCAAAAAATACTAGCAAACTGAATCCAGCAATATCCATAAGAGATTATACACCACAACCAAGTGGGATTGGTTGGTTAAATATCTAAAAGAAAATCTGGTAAGCGCTGTGAATTGTGCAAGACTGTTGAATCTCAGATCTGTACCTCTGAAACAAATAATGCAATATATGTTAAGAAAAAAAAAAAAGAAGAAGAAGAAGGTAGCGGGAGGGGAAGAATGAAGCGGGGGAAATCGGAGGGGTAGACGAACCATGAGAGACGATGGACTCTGAAAAACAAACAGGGTTCTAGAGGGGAGGGGGGTGGGAGGATGGGTTAGCCTGGTGGTGGGTATTGAGGAGGGCACATTCTGCATGGAGCACTGGGTGTTATGCACAAACAATGAATCATGGAACACTTCATCTAAAACTAATGATGTAATGTATGGGGATTAACATAAGAATAATAATAAAAAAAGTAATAAAAATACTAATAAATAAAGAGGGTAGGAAGAAACTTTTGGAGGGGATGTATATGTTTATGGCATAGATTGTGGTACACATTTCACATGTGTATACTTATCTCTAAACTCATTATGTTTTGTACATTAAGTATGTTCAGCTTTTTGTGTCACTACATCTCAATAAAGTGGTTTTAAAAATAAAGGAAAAAAAATAAAAAAATAAAAGAAAATCAATTAATGAAATACATCATACCAGTAGAATAAAGGACAAAACCACATGATCATCTCAATAGATTCAGGAAAAAAATGTGACAAAACTCAACATCCCTTCCTGATAAAAACACTCAACAAACTAAGAATGGAAGGGAACTTCCTCAACCTGTAGATGCCTGGTAAAAGGCATCTACACAAACCCTACAGTTAGCAATATCAAGAGAGTGAAACTTTCTCCCTAAGATCAAGAACAAAACAAGGAGGTCCACTCTCACCGCTCCTATTCAACCTTGTACTGGAGATTCCAGCAAGGGTAATTAGGAAAGAAAATTAAATAAAAAGCACCTAGTTTAAAAAGGAGGAAATAAAACTATCTTTACTTGCAAATAAAATAAACTTGTATATAGAAAATCCTAAGGAATCCACTAAGAAACAATTAAAATAAAAATACTGCAACAAACTTGTAGGTTACAAAATCAATATACAAAGATCAGTTGTATTTCTGTACACTAGCGATAAACAAAACAAAAATTAAATTAAGAAAATAATTCAATTTACAATAGCATCACAAAGAATAAAATATTTAGAAATAAATTTAACCAAAGAAGTGTAAGACTTGTACATTGAAAGCAATAAAACATTATTAGGGAAAAAAAAATTTAAAAAGACCTAAATAAATGGAAAGACATCCCATGCTCGTGGATCAGAAGACTCACTATTACTCAGCTATAAAAAAAGAATGAAATCTCATCATTTGCAATGACATGGATGGATCTAGAGGATATAATGCTAAGTGAAATAAGTCAGTCAGAGAAAGACAAATGCTATGTGATTTCACTCATATGTGGAACTTAAGAAACAAAACAAACGAACAAAGGAAAAAAGAGACAAACCAATAAATATATTCTTAAATACAGAGACAAACTGGTGGTTGCCAGAGGGAAGGTGGGTAAGGGGATGGGTGAAACAGGTGATGGGGATTAAAGAGTATACTTAGCATCACGAGCACTGAGTAATGTATAGAATTGTTGAATCACTGTATGGTACACCTGAAATTAATATAACACTGTATGTTAGCTATACTGGAATTAAAATAAAAAAATAAATAATTTTAAAAAAAGATACAGTAGTTTCCAAATTTATCTACAGATTCAATGCAATCTCTATCAAAATCTGTTAACTTCCTTGCAGAAATTGACAAAATGATTCTAAAGTTCATATGGAAATTAAAGGATCCCAGAACAGTCAAAGCTATCTTGAAAAAGAAGAACAAAGTTGGAGGAACTCACTTCCCAATTTCAAAAGTTACTGCAAAGTTACAGTAATCAAACAAAGTGGTACTGGTATCACTATATGTATTTTTTATTTAATATATATGATATATATGTCATATAGGATAGATACACACACACACATATATATCAATGGAATAGAATTGAGAGTACAAAAATAATCTCTCACATTCATGGTCAACTCATTTTTGACATGGGAGTAAAGACAATTAAATGGGAGAAAGAACAGTCCTTTCAACAAACGGTGTTGGGACTAATTATTCACATGCAAAGTTCGACCCCTACTTCATACCATAGACACTATATATTAAAATTAACTCAAAATGAATCAAAGACATAATTTTAAGACTTAAAACTATAAAGTCTTAAAAGCAGAGACCTACATTTTTATGACTTTGGATTAAGGATGGTTTCTTAGATACAAGAACAAAAATACAAGCAACAAGAAAAAAAAAGATAAATTAGACATCACAATTAAAATCCTCTGTGTTTTATAGGACATCATCAAAAAAGTGAAATGACAACCTACAAAATGGGAGAAAATTTTTGAGTATCACATATCTGATAAAGATTACTATCCATGATATGTAAATAACTCTTACAACTCAAGAATAAGAACAAATACCCTAATTTTTAAAATGGACAAAGGATCTCAACAGACATTTGTTTTGTTTTTTTTTTTAAGATTTTATTTATTTATGAGAGAGAGAGAGAGAGAGAGCATGAACAGGGGGGAGGGTCAGAGGCAGATGGAGAAGCAGATTCTCTGCTGAGCAGGAAGCCCAATGTGGGACTCGATCCCAGGACCCTGGGATCATGACCTGAGCCAAAGGCAGACGCTTAACCGACTGAGCCACCCAGGCGCCCTCAAAAGACATTTCTTTAAAGAAGAACTACAAACGGCCAAGTACATGATTGCATAGCTCCACAAAAATACTAAAAACTATTGAATTGTATATTTTGAGCGGATTATTTGCTATGTAAATAATATCTCAGTAAAGCTGTTATTAAAACAAATGTGAGGTAGTCTTTACTTTGAGAAGCCATGAGCAGTGCTGAAATGAAATGCAGAAGAGCGTTTCTAAAATATTACAAAATGCAGTAAATCTTGGTCTTGCTAAAAGTTGCGGTTAATAAGTTATTGTTTCTTAAACCCAACACAACCAGCAGAGAAACTGCAATGGAGAGTGAGATTTTTAACTAGATGGTGGTTTGGTAAAGCCCTGACTCCTCCTCCTTGGCTGATTTCAAAACAGAGTCCTGGGACAGGGTCTGCCATTACCGCGAGGTCTCCTGGTTCCAGCTGCAGGCAGACCGCTCTGTCCCAGCAGACCTGGGCTGCCTGAGATAAGGGGTCCCTCAGGGTGCAGGCCCTCAAGGTAAGTAACCCAGAATTAACTGTTCCTAAGGATCCCACGAGAACCGGGAGGCAGTGGACCCCTAGCAGCAGGGTTCATCGTCCCAGGGCGCACGATACCAGGAGAATTGTGTCTTAGCCTGTTGTCCTAGCCTGGGTTTCTTTAACAGCAAAGGCTCATCTGTGAGCGGGAGCAGGAATGAGGGCAGGGTTAATACGCAGGGCAGGAAAAGGGTCCACACACCCTTACGATTTGTCTTCAGTCTGCAGGACATTCTGAGAAGCCCCACAGAATGCATGTTAGAACTGTTCTGCCACTGGGTAAGGGCTGTCCTCTGGGGAGTTAACTCTCCCTCTTCTGGGCTGTGTGCCAGCATAGTTTCCCACAGGCCTGCTGTGGAGACAGAGGGACTGCGGGAACACTGTGCATTCACTGACAGCTGTAAAGATGCCTGCAATTGGCATAGCTGGAGGGAGAAGCTAGGTTGAGGGAATTTGAAGCAATGCTCCAACCACCCACTAAGTCCTGTGGGGTCTCAGGATCAGCTACAGAATTAGCAGGGCCCAGTGAGGCATGAAAATGTGGGTGCTTTGTTCAAAAATTATTGGAATTTCAAGATGGTTACCGGAGAGCATTAAGCTAAGCCTAGGGTCCTCCTGAGCCTTGTCTGGCTGCACTGGTTGTCTATGCCCCTGGAGCTGGCCTTGTCTGGACTCTAAAATAGCAAGTTACCCCTCATCCCCATGCTTTACCTCTCACACACACACCCAGGGACGGCCTGACCACATCTTCCTAAGGAACACCGACATTGAGGAGCTGATTTTCTCTTCCCTGTCTCTGTCTCTCCCTCAGCTCTGGTCACGCAACTGTAAGCTCGGCCTCCATGGGGGTTCCTGACCCTGCTGGGGCGTGCTGAGGTTTTTCCAGGCCATGGTCAAATCTGGGCAAAGGAGAGAGGTTTTCGTAAAGCTGCTTGGTTTTTTTCCATAAAGTTCTTTATTATAAGAATTTGTCCTCACTTAAGGAATGAAATTATGGTGATGGTAAATAGCACTTTTTATTTTGGTAAGGTATGATATTAGTTTCTTTTTAAGTGGCAGTCCTTTGTCAATCCTGAACTGAAAAAGAAAATGACTATCCTGTGAATGCCTGAGAATAATGGGATGGGAGGCGGGAGAAGGGGTACAGGTTTAAAATCAAAGGCCTGGTGGATGTAGGATTTGATCCTATTGGGACAGGAAGGGAACAAAGCAGGGTTTTTCATCAACAGTTCCTCACCACCCCCCAAAAAAGTATAGAGAACCGTCAAAATCCCTGAGCTTCTGGCTGGCCCTTGCAAGTGTTCCTGGTGTGCTCTTTCTTTCATCCAGTTTCTGGCCAAGGCTCCATCCACGGATGAAGGGGAAAGCACTGTCTGTCCAGTGGAACACGAGCACTGGGGAAGCTCCTCTTAAGAACATATCACCCATCCTCAACTCACCCACTGAAATTCTACTACCAGTAATGTACTGCTTTGGGTAGAATGCAAGCCTCTGGTTTATTTAAGTGATTTAATGCATCAGTTCTTTAATATTTAATTAATTAATTTTAAAAAGATTTATTTATTTATTTGAGAGTATGAGCAGGAGGGGCAGAGGGAGAGGGACAAGCAAACTCCATGCTGAGCATGGAACCCAACACAAGGCTTGATCTCATGACCCTGAGATCACGATCTGAGTGGAAACCAAGAGTCCGAGGCCTAATAGACTGCACCAGCCAGACGCCCTGCATCAGTTCTTTTACAGTGCATTAAAACCGTAGGCAAGAAAATGTTTTTGTGGCAGTTAGTATATTGCCTGGTGCACTGAAAATGTACAAATATGATGATGATGATAATGATGATAATATTAACATCACTAAATCCTAACAAAACCCAAAAAGGTACGTGCTAATATTATCCCCAATTTTTGGCTGAGGAAACTGAAATTTAGAGAGATTGAGTAAGTTACTCAAAGCCACACTGCTTGGAAGCAGAGAGCCAGGGTCAAAACAGACACAGACAGTGTCACTAGGCCGGGGGGACCTTGAGGGACAGGTGGTGCAGGTCGGGCTGATGTGGCGTTTAGCGGGCCAGTGAGTTCCCTCATTCTCACTGTACTGCTGGATGGGCAATACTAGCTTAAAAGTGCTTCAGGTGAAAACACAAAACCCTTTCTCAAACTTTATTTCTCTTTGTCCTTCTTTTTCCATACCTTCCTCTCTCCTGGCACTCCCTGTGTGATTCTGGAAGAACCTACTAAAGGAGACAAACCAGAAAGATCCTTCCAGGACAACATCTTGCATCTGCAATATGTAGGAGCACTATCTAATACTAGTGTCTCACATACAGTGGGTGCCTAATAAATGTTTGCCAATCATTATGAGAAGGAAGCCTCTTCCAGGTCTCTGTCAAGCAGCCAGTGGTGTTCTTGAGCACCCCAGCCAAAGTCTCCTTCACTGAGCATGCCCCACAGTGGGCTCCATGCCTATTTTCAACCCTACATCTCTCCCTACACATGGCCAACTCAAACTCATTATTTATTTATTTATTTTTAAAGATTTTATTTATTTATTTGAGACAGAATGAGAGAGAGAGAGAGAGCACATGAGAGGGGGGAGGGTCAGAGGGAGAAGCAGGCTCCCTGCCGAGCAGGGAGCCCGATGCGGGACTCAATCCAGGGACTCCAGGATCATGACCTGAGCCGAAGGCAGTCGCTTAACCAACTGAGCCACCCAGGCGCCCTCAAACTCATTATTAATTATAATACTTCTGAAAGATGTAGGAGGTATGTAGCACAATCCCATTGTCAAATTCAGGGAATGTCATCTGATATGTACCATCACCTTCCATTACCTACCCAAATGTGTCTACTACAGTCCTGGAAATCTGAAAAACCAGTGAGTAAGGATAGCACCTGTCCCACACCACCTAATTAATGCAGGGCTCTAAGGAAGTGAATGCAGGTGTTGGATCAGGGTCCCTGAGAGATTAGAATTTGTCAATGCCTCCAGATATGGAAAAATGTTAGACCTTTCACTCCCAGCCCACCCCAAAGTATACCTTCTTTTAAGCAAAATCAGCCATTCTTCTGATATTAATCTTTGGCATCCACTTATTAATTCTCCAGTCATTTGTTAAGAGGTAGTGAATTAATTATGACAGAGACTATGGAGCTGTAGCTCTGTGTATGGGAGAAACCATTTCAAACTGATTTTCAATTCCCAAAACTTTAATTTTCAACACTAAACAAGGATTTGCCAAAACTCGCTATTTCATTTTTTAGTTGAGCCAGCACCAAATGGTAGGCAATTTTTTTTTTTAAGATTTTATCTATTTATTTGAGAGAGAGAGAATGAGAGAGAACACATGAGAGGGGGGAGGGTCAGAGGGAGAAGCAGACTCCCCGCCGAGCAGGGAGCCCGATGCGGGACTCAATCCAAGGACTCCAGGATCATAACCTGAGCCGAAGGCAGTCGCTTAACCAACTGAGCCACCCAAGTGGTAGGCAATTTTTTTTTTATTGAATCCATCTGTATCCGAAGAATATTCTAGATGCTCTGGAAGAAAACTTTCCAAGCTCTATATTAACTACTGAGTGTTGACATCTGGACCTCACACTGATGCTCTTGCTCTAGCAGATGCACTCACAAACGATGTGCATTACCATTTCAAATCGTCGGTGTATATTTCATTCCAATACGGGCACTAATTTTATTTGTATGAAGTTGCAGACTTAACAGGAAAAGAGAAGGGGAAATCAGACTTTTTTGTTTGGCCAGGTTGGTAATCCTAACTTCACAGATCTTATGGTCGAAGCAAGGAAGAGGCCAACATAGTTAGAGAGCCAACTTTATCTGGCTCTTCCACAAAGAACAGGCATTCTCCTTGCCCAGCCGGGAGAGAAAACAAAACCCACTAACTGGATGCAAAGATGTTGCACAGCCTTCCCTTTCTTTTCTTTTCTTTTTTTTTTTTTTAAAGATTTTATTTATTTATTTGAGAGAGAGAGACTGAGAGAGAGAGCACATGAGAGGGGGGAGGGTTGGGAGGGTCAGAGGGAGAAGCAGACTCCCTGCTGAGCAGGGAGCCCGATGCGGGACTCGATCCAGGGACTCCAGGATCATGACCCGAGCCGAAGGCAGTCGCTTAACCAACTAAGCCACCCAGGCGTCCTCAGCCTTCCCTTTCTGTGTGCAGGGTCATGCACACACTGCCATTCTGTTCCTTCTGAGTGCCTGGCTGCTTAGAAAAGTTTAAGAATAATTCTGAGTTGCACAGTGATCAAACCAACCTTGGGTTAAGACTCTCAGTCCTCCTCCTTTTTAAAAGGATCAAGTACAAAAACACTTCAAAGGGGCTACATATAATTCAGGAATACAGACAGGTAGGGGAGAATCACTTTAGGAAGAAGAGTAGAGAAGTTTTACCAGCTGTCCATAGCATTAGAGCCAGGGATTTAAGACATGGGTAGTTATTTCTAGGCTTAAAAATGCTATGCTTCCATTTATTCTGTAGATTATGAAGTCTATTTCCACAAAGAGCAGTTAAAATTGGGTTGGGACAGAAAAGCAACCTAGAGAAGCAGAAAAGGGAAAGGATGAGAAAAAAAATTCTTGTGCACATGGAACACATCAGAGGCAACAGACTTCTGGGGACACTTTGACCTCAGCTTTACCTTTGTAAATATCCTACCTCACTTTTTTTATTTCCTCCTGATGTGTCCCACCTGTTAATACCAGGTAAAACCTTTTCTTTTATCAAGGAATATAAGGAAATGAGTCTGCCCGCAAGTTTTGTTTTTGTTTTTTAAGATTTTATTTACTTATTTGACAGAGAGACACAGCCAGAGAGGGAACACAAGCAGGGGGGGTGGGAGAGGGAGAAGCAGGCTTCCCGCTGAGCAGGGAGCCCGATGCGGGGCTCGATCCCAGGACCCTGGGATCATGACCTGAGCCGAAGGCAGACGCTTAATGACTGAGCCACCCAGGCATCCCTTGTTTGGTTTTTAATACATCTTCTTTTAAAAACATTTGCCAATCAGAGTTTCAACCACACAATGGAATTTTCACCCTTTTATTCTGTTTTTAGAATATAGTTGCTGCTTAGACTTGGTAATGGGTTTATTAATCCTTTACTGGGTAGACAAAAAGATTCTTCGTTGTGGCATTAACCAGGGTTTCTCAACCTTGGCATTGTTGAAGTTTTGGACCAGAAAATTCTTTGTTGGGGCTGTTCTGTGCAGTGTTGGATATTCGGCAGCATCCTTGGCTTTTACCCAATGGATGCCAATAGCACTTGCTGTGAAAACCAAAAATGTCTCCAGACCCTGCCAAATGCCCCCCTTCCAGGGGCAATTCTTCCTTCCACCCTAGAAACACTAGCCACTGGCTTTAAGGAAATCATTAAAATATGAAAAGGAGATATTAAAGTAGACATCCATCGGAAAGATCAAAATTCTTATTTCCCAAGTATTTCGTATTTGAAGAGTATTTTAGTAGATCTTATTCATTCTTAGCCTCCCCTAATTACACGGTGGGCTCATCCACTGATCTCTGACATGGCAGAATCCTCTCCCAGCCCCAAGAGAGATTGTTAGTCATGAGAATTCCATTTCCTTTTGCCCATTTCTCAGTTCTAGACTGAGACATAAAAGGGGGAAAATGTTTGAGAAGTCTTCCTCTTATAAGATTAAAAAATAGTAATTATAAATAAGATCCTCTCTAAAAGAAAAAAAAAAGTCTTTTTGCCATATGTGTTTTTTCCCCACTAGAAAGTCTGTCTTTTAATGTGATAGGACTGCTTGGACCATGAGCAGTCCCTCACAATTACAAGGAACCAAGAGAAAGGAAAAAAAAAAAGAAAGAAAGAAAGAAAGAAAGAAAGAAAGAAAGAAAGAAAGAAAGAAAGAAAGAAAGAAAGAAAGAAAGAAAGAAAGAAAGAAAGAAAGAAAGAAAGAAAGAAAGAAAGAAAAGAAATGCCAACAGCTTGAGCAAGGTAAAGCAGAAAAAAACAAAAGAGCTTCAGTCCTTGATGATATCTTTGAACCATTGAACCAGCCTTGGAATGTCCACCTCAGACTGCTGGTTAGTTGAAATAATTCAACACTTTTATTGCTTAGCCAAATCAATAGTTGGCAAACTCTGATTTGTGGGTCAAATGCAGGAACTAAGAACTGTTGTTACATTTTTAAAAGGTTGTTAAGAAACAAAGGTTGTTAAAAATAAACAGCCATATGGGGCCCACAAATTCTTAAATATTTACTATGTGGCCCTGCATAGATAAAGTTTGCCAATCCCCAATCTCGACCACTCATAGCTAATGTCTTGTGATTTGCAACTCAAAGCATTCTTAACTAAAACAAGTACTGATATCTTCATTTTACAATTATAGAAACTGAAGCTTGAATCTGCCAACGGTAGGCTCAACTAGACAAGTCAAATACAAACTTGCCATTATTTCAATTCATTGTAAAGTTAAGCCAAATTGAGGCATCACAAAATATTTAATAAACTTTTCTATATTTTAGGGCTTCGAATCATATTTGTACCAGAGGCTTGATTTTACAAATCAGAATAGATGAAGCCTCTTGATGAAACACAATATGCTCAGTGAATACCTTCAAAGGGGGTCAGACTGTCCTACTATCTGGAGCACCAAGGCATTTCCTGCCCTAGGAAGTCAAACCTGGAGACCCCAAAGAGGAAAAGACATTACAGAAACACACTAGGAACAAACTCGCTGATTTGATAAATTACCTTTTCTGCTTGCTGAAACAGTTCCTGCATTTCCTTGCTGACTCACTTAGAGAGAGTGAATTCTTAGTGGAAAAAATCCAAAGGCTTCCTCCATTAACTTTAGCACCCAAGTTAATACTGCTGTTTCCAGTTGGACCAGCATGTTTGGTAGCACCTTGATAAAGGATTTAAATATTGATAAAATCTTATACTCAGAGTCAGGTCCAGAAGAAGGCAGACAGAGCTCATTGTGGAGAGCCCATCAGATGAGTGTTGTACGAGTTACAGTAAACATTCGCCCACATCTAACCATGGGGCCATAACTGAGCACTGAATGACTGACTGGCAGGGCCAGGCTTTTCTCAGTTGATCCAACCAACATTTCTTTGCCTTTGTGTCCCAGTGTCTATCCCAGTATAGGAGGTGGTCAATCAGGAACAAAAGCCCTCGGTCTACACCCAATACTGGTTGTGCTTCAGTGTTGGGTTGGTTTGTCGGCAGAACTGGACCATATCGGGATCCAGACTCATCCATGTCTCCCAAGGAGCACATTTCTCCACTGGCTCAGTGGCTGGAGAAGCCATTTGCTCACTTTGTGGGTCCCTGAAAAGACTGACTGGGGGATTTCTGGAGCTTTTTAGAAGGGGTGTCACTGTGACAGTGGGAACAGTTATGCTCCTTTCTGGCCTAGGACCTGGGGTTGTAGGTTCAAGATTGGTCTGAGACTTGATAAGAGGTTTTGTCTTTTCTACCTTCTGGCCCAGCAGCCAGACACACAAGGCCACTGCAGTTATCATCAGCAGGAAGACCACCACAGCCAAGGGTACAATGACCATCAGGGGATAACTGCTCTCCCTGGGCTGGGTGGGTGCCTCAGGACTGGCGTTGGTTGTGTCTGGTGGCCAGATGACCCTAGCTGGAGAAGCTTTGCCATCCAGAGTAGACTCTTCACCACGGTGTTGTCCCCAGGGCCTTGCTTCCTGCTGCCTGGTCTGGGTCAGCTTCCCTAGAGTTTCTGTCTTTGCTGTGGGTCCTGAGGAAACCACGGGCTTTTCCTGAGAGAGATCTGAAGTCACAAGGTTATCTGTAGTGACTAATAAAGAAACATCAGGGGTAAAGTTTTGCAAACATAAGGGGTCAGGTGGCACTATGGTGAAGGGTAGATGACCTATTGCTGGCTGCACATGGTCTGCCCTGAGCAAGAAAGTGAAGGAGTCATTCAGCATATCAATGCCTGTTAGGTTGGCATGTGGATGAAGCATCAACAACCCTTGGTCAATGTCCCTCTGAGTGAATAGAGTAGCGTTTTCCATTGCCGTGCCTCGGCCCACTCTTCGTACAAGTCTTCCATGGACAGGGAGTTCGGTCACTTCAAATTTGGGATCACCGTTAGTCCTATTAGCAAGCTCAGTCGCATCAAGGTCCTTTCTTCTCAGCTGATAAACCTCCCTGTTGGCGATGGTCAGGTTTGACGTAACCTGCAGTAAAGGCTGCACCCTGATGTTCAGTGTTTGTCCCGTCAGATTGCTTTCTGGTGTAAATAGTGAGAAATACAGCTGGTCCTCTGAGGCCATGAGATGTGTCATATGGTAAGAAAGTCTTCCTGAATGCAGATCTTCCTGCCCAAAGCTGACAACCACCTGGTTTTCAATGAGCAGATGCCCATGTTGGGGGGGCCATGTCATCTTGTAAGTGATTTGGGGGCTTCTCCCATTGGTCGTTGCTGACAAGTGAGTATTGGTGATGGGGACAGTTGTCTGGCCTTGTGGGAGAAGTAGGTCCGTGAGGTTCACAAGGGTGATGGAGATGGGGATGACATCCAGGTGGAAGAGCTTATAGAGTGGGCGGTGTTGGCCATCAGTCACACTAAAGTAAAACACACTCGAAGATGGGCTTCCATCTTGTACAAACCATACCTGAGAGTTATCAATGTCAGCTTGTGTGAAATGGTGAACAGGTACGTCTGGATGGTGAGCCATTGCCAAAAAGCCATTATTAGGATTACGGATGATCATATATCTGATCTCCTCTGGAGGACTGTCTAGATCTTCCACTCTTAGGTTTTCTGGTCCCACAACCAACCTATTTCCCTGCAGAACTTTCAACCGAAGCCCTTTTGTCTTTAATTCTGGTGCCTGGTCATTAACAGGAGATATGGTGATGTTAAACATCTCTTCAAGGAAGTCAGCCTCTGGCTTGGTGGTGGACTTGCTCTTCTGTTTCGGCCAAACGGCAAAGGTAAAATTATCAGCCAGCGATTCAGAGTCATCGTGAAGGTATATGATTCCAAATTTATTAACTATATACTGGGAGAAATTGGGTTTTTCCTTGGTAATATTCCTCTCTCCAACCATAATGGTTCCATGGTGAGGAAGAGACGTAACCTGGAACCAGATTTCATAGGAAGATCGCTGAGATTTGGGCAATTTCAATAAGAGGTTGGAAGCATCTAAATTAGATTGGTCAATGAGAACTTTGTCTCCCTCCTTGACAGCAGCTCCTGTGAAAATATAAAGAACAAAGTGGCATTTCATTAGAACTTTCAGATGACACCTGTAAAGCTCTTTCTCTCTCAAATTTCCCTATCTGAGTGGATTATTCTAAACCTCTGGGTTGCTCAAGGACCTGAATTGGCATTGTTACACAAGGCATATAACAAATTATATTTTAAGTATACATATCCTAACTACTAAGTCAATATTTCAGGCAAGATAGCTCTAAAATCTTGAGATTCACTTATAGAATGTTAATCTCCTAACTTATCTACTACTGGACTTTCTCTTGCCATGGAAACAGGTGCAGCTTTCAATACTCCTTTCCTTTCAGGAACTTGCCCTATTTGTTATTTTCATTTTCTATAGATGGTTTTCAGTAATAGACATGGTAAAGTCCCCATTTGGAGTTACAAATAAAATGCTTTAGAGTTAATTTTCCATGTTCCCCCCCAACTACAACTATTAAAGCTTATGAAAGGAAAAAGAAGAGGCCCAGAGAAAGAGCACACAAAAAGAAATAAATTTTTATAACCATATACGTTTTATTTCAAAGGTTGGTATCATGGCATTGATATGATATCATGGCATTTCCAATTAATAAGGGGAATATTTATTTCCAAACTGTCCCTACTTTAATAGTTATAGATAAGCCACTGGCCATATCTTTTGGTGGCTTTACCTGTATTTGCAAGCAGATGACTCTGCCGACCAGGTTCAGTAATTTCATATGAAATAGTAATACGAAACTCCTCAGGGCCTAGAGCTGCTGGTGGGGATGATGTCGTAAACGTGAAAGAGTCTTCTGCAGTCCAGCCAGTGTTCTCATGGTCCACATGCTGGTATAATATCAGCCGTTCACTGACCTGTCCAGACATGAAGAAAAATCAGCCCCTGGCTTCAGGGATAATATGAGGACATGTATCCTAAGGAGATACAGGTTTTTTTCAGGGTTTATTCTCATGCTCAAATTATGCACATATCTATGCAAACACAAGAACAATAACAATGTGGTAACCTATTTGTCAAACCTTGGTGCTCAATTGCAAAAATAGTTTATTTATCAGAGAAAGAAAAGCACATTGATTTTGAGATGACTAAGGCTATGGTTTGTATATTACAGAAAGCATATAATGAACCTTCATTTGCCTCTCTGATAATTTTAAAAACTATCAACTCATAACCAATCCTATTTCATATAATACTCCTACCCACATTCTGCTCAATAGCTTATTTTGAAGCCAAACCCAAACACCATTTTATCTGTAAATGTTGTAGTGAATATTGACAAAGATGGCTCTTTTAAAAACATAATCACAATACCATTATCACATCTAAATATTATCAATAGTTACTTAATATCATCAAATATCCAATTAGTGTTCAAATATATCTGATGATCTAGTACATTTTTTTTTTTTTACACAGGTGCTTTGTTTGAGTCAGGATCCTTAGAAGTCCCCACATCACATTTGTTTGATGCTTCTCATAGGTGTCTTTTAGTCTATAGGTTCCCCTTCTCTAATTTTTTTCTTGTAATCTATTTATTATTTATTTATTGATTTATTAAATATTTATTTATTTATTAAATATTCTTATATTCTAGGTTTTGCTGCTTGCATCCCAATGGTATTATTTAACATGTTCCTCTGTCCCCTATATTTCCAATACACTAGTAGTTAAACCTAGAAATGTTGTAAGAATCAGATTTAAGTTTTTGTTAAGAATGTTTTACAGGTTGTATTCTATATTTCCTCTGCATCTCATTACAAGGCTGCTTCTCTTTTGGATATGTTAGTATTAATAGGTGAATTCAAGTGCTGCCAGGTTGATCTATCTATTTTAAAGTTCCCCATCAGCCTTGTCACCTGATAGTTTTCCAGAGTCATTGATATGATTGCTTAAGTCCCTTATTTTTGCAGTGGCAAGGCATTGATATTTTTAATCATCCCTTCTTCATTCTTATCTGGAATTCTTCTTTAAAGAAGAACTTTCCCTCTTCAGCTATTTGGCTACGCTGAGGTACAGTGTATGCAGGAAAGACAGGATAAGTACTTGATTCTTTCCCTTTATACAAATTTTTAGAAAAATGAGTCCCCTGGCTCCAATATCTAAACATACCCATTGGTTTTTGTTTTGTTTGTTTTGGGATCATTATAAACTCATGAGTTTTAATATATGATGTATTTCATTCCATTGCAGTTCTTATTCTCCTTGATGTTCAAATTTTCCCACCTTGCTTAGGGTATTTTTCAAGATTTAATCTAAGTTCCTGATGCCTGTTGCCTATCAATGTCCTTTCCAGCTCAACTGATGGAGATGGGCCCCACCCAGTGTTTTGTTGTCCAGATCCCATGTGGGTGTCCTTCCCCTAACAACAGTGACGGAAAGTTCTAAATCTCAAACCACAGAAGGGAAGGCTAGAGATAAAATGTCTCACCCTTTAATTCCTATAGGTCACATCTTTTTCTGACCTGCTTTCTATTATAGTATCTGAACTTACAGGTATGTTTTTTCAAGGTATTTATGTCCATGTCGAAAGTGTCTAGGATAAATTATCTTATAATTTACAAAGCAGTTGAGTCTATTTCATCAGTCAGTATTTGGAAATACTGTATTAATTCACAGAAGCTTTGTGGTGTATTGCTCTGGTTCAACACTGGTGCAATGGAAGTACCTAGAATCAGAGTTCTAGAAAGTCTTTTGGTCTAGTGAGTTTCCACAAAATATGAGCTTCCTGTTTCCAGAGTGTCCAAAAACTGTTGGTGAGTTTTTTGTTCCTTTCCTCTTCAAGGGTAAGGCAAGGAAATGCTGTCATTTGGGGATTTTAAATGGGGAGAAGAAAGTATTGTTTCTCAACATTTCCTCATCAAGAAGCAAGGCCACTCATGAAAAACTGGTTTCCCCAAAGATAATTTCTGGTACTGACTACTGACTCGATTCCCTAGAAGTTTCTGGGAAATAAATCAGTTTTATTTAGCAGTTCTACTATTTCTAGTCTCAGCTAAAGATTTATGATGAAATATTCATCATAAATGTATTCCTTTTCCTAGAAACAAGCAACTGTGCCATGGATTTTGGACTGGAGAATGGTTCCTAAAGGTTCCCATTCTGCTTGAAAGAGGCATAATATTATAAGACAAGAGACATCCAGCTTCTTAATGTTAAAAGTAACATAGTCTACTGACCAGGAGGAAAAATTTTCTTGGAAGCTTGTCAATCTTGCCCTTTGCTTCTTTGGTTTAAGTAAAAATTAACTTCCCCAAAAATATATGATGCTACTGGAATAATCTAAGGGTCTTCTGATGTCTACAGGATGAAGAGTGATTGTCCCAGGGAAAGAATGGTTCTCAAAGATGAGAATAGTTGAGATGAAGGTCAAAAATCTGAGGGAAATTAATTGGAAAGGAGCCCCAACCATAGCTATGTACTTTGGAAGACTCCTGGAGGAGAGGTCTGCTATCGGTTCTTTTCCTGAAAAGTCATTCCAAAAGTGAGAAATTGTGAATAACTTATTGACTCATTTTATGCTGGAGAGTGAGAGAATTGAATTAGATTCATCTTGAGCGTATGAGCTTCAAGACCGGACAGCAGATAATTGAAAGTGCTGAGCTAGAAGCAAAAGGGAATGAGTGTGCCTGTGGAATGTCAACTTGGCAGTCATGCCCTGAAGGAGCTTTGAGGTGAGTAGAGTCTTTAATATTTAGAAGATAGAGAGCTTTAAGAATCAGATTCCAGGGGCGCCTGGGTGGCTCAGTCAGTTGAGCATCTGATTCTTGATCTCAGCTCAGGTCTTGATCTTAGGGTCGTGAGTTCCAGCCCCACGTCGGGCTCCACACTGGGCATGGAGCCTACTTAAAAAATAAACAAATAAGAACCAGGTTCTAAGGTGTGTGTACGTGGGCGTATGCATGTGTGCATGTGCATGTATGTGCGTGTGTGTGTGTGTGTGTGTGTGTGTGTGTGTGTGTGTGGTGGAGAGGGCTAGAAAAGGGAGAACAAGACCAAGACTTTATGGGAAAAAATGTAAGGTAAACCTCAAGAGAGAAGGATCTCAGACAGGATTAGGAATTTTGTTACCTCAAATAGAAAGTGGCCGTAGGGGCAACTTCCAACAGCTCTGCATATTTCTGCTGTATTCAATATAGATCAATAAACCACTTAGCTGAATACCTGGGCTCTGAGATTAAGGAGAGGGGAGGTTTTTATTTCTAATGGGATTTAGATTAGCCCAGATATTTTCTCTTTTACAGATGAAGTCTTTTTGGAATGTCATTAGAAATTAAAATTTGTATAATTCCAACTAGTAAATGCAGATGGAAAAACAGAATGAGAAAAATCACCATTTGGCAATCACCATAGTAATAAATATCTCACAGGAATCCTAAATGATTGCTTACACTAGCGAGCTAAGTTGTGATGAGAAACAGGGTATTTAAATAGTTCCAAAGTATTCCCTCACAAAATACTTAATTACAGAAAGGGAAATATTAAGTTCGCCAAGGAGAAACCTGAAAGATAGCACCTGACTAAGTGGCGAACATCATCAGTGACAGGGTGGAGTGAGCATTGGTGCTTCCTGATGTGAGGCCGGAGGAGACCTCAGCATCGCTCATGGCCATTCCCGCCAAAATGCACAACCTAAATTGGACTGTGAGGAAACATCCAATGAAACCAAACTGAGGAACACACTACAAATAACCGGCCTGTTCTCAAAAAATGGCCACGTCACAAAAGTCAGCAAGACTGCAGAATGCTTTCAGATTAAAGCAGACCAAGGACACCTGAAAACTAAATGCTACGTTTTACACTGTGGATTTTTTTCTTTAGGATATTCTTTTTTTCTAGAGGATATGCATTGAAACAACCTGTGAAATTTGAATAAGGTCTACAGATTATATAATAGATTGTATCAATGCTAATTTCATGATTTTGAAAATTATACTGTGGTTATATGAGAAAGGCCTTATTTTTAAGAAATATGCACTAAGGTATTTAGAGGTAAAGGTACATCATGTCTGCAACTGCCTCTTAAAATTTCAGAAGTGTGTGTGTGTGTGCATGTGTGAAGAGGTATGATAAAGCAGGTAGTTAAAAGCTAACATTTGGGTAATATGGATGAATAGTATACTTTGTACTCTTTTGCAATCGTTCTGTAAGTCTGAAATTATGTCAAAATGAAAAAGTTAAAAAAATAATTCTAAAAAGTAAATCCCATAGTGTTTTACTATTTCAACTTCAGGAAGGGACCAATAATTTCTTTTCTCTGATGACCAAGTATGTGCAGAATGGGGGAGGGGGGCTAACCTTTGCATGCCTTGGGCACTCTGACATCAAGAAGTGCTCGTTTCCTATCCCAACATCGTTCCCCCCACCTCCAACTTGGTCCATTTCTCTAGTACCTCAACAAGGCTGTACTCCTAACTAACATATGAGTGGGTGAATATGCAGGTCAAAATCCTAGACCTGAGAAGTCCTTTTATTTGAAATGACAATATCATAACACCCCTTGGATCTCTGAGATTTAAATCTTCTGGATTTCATATCCTTGATTCCTACAGAACCACAAAGAAAAATATTTGTCAGAGGCCAAAGGCATAAATTTGGCTCCATGAAGGCCAGGGGCCCTACTGAATTTTCTGTGCTGGATTAAAGTTTACAACTCAGAGGCTGCTGAGCAGCTCAGAGAGGGTGGGAATTTAGGGAACTCCTCTCCATCTCCTCAGTCATCGACCTAGTTGGGAGAAGAGCTGAGACCAGAAGCCAGATCTCCACACTTATAGATAAGAACCCTTTCTCCTAGAGCACTTGATTGGAGACTGTTTGGCTCCAGCTGCCTGAATGATTACTCTTCTTCCTCCAAGGAGGAAAAGGATACACATTAATATAAAAATGGAAGCAGAGGAGTGTAGTAGAATTTGAACCATGGGTTGATCAGACCTACATTCAAATATAAATGCTTCCAACTTTCAGCTCTGTGGCTTTTATGCAGGTAATTTAATCTCTCTGAGCTTACATTTCTGCATTAAAGTATGGAATAACATCTCTCTTGTAAATATACATTTAACCTAGTCTTTTGCCATATTAATGTTCAAAACAACATGCCCTGAGCATTTCTAAGTCTTTCAGGAAAGCATCTAAGTCTTCACTAATCAATTCCTTACTAGAACATCAGCGGATTCTGGTTAAAATGGAAGGCTATACTTATTTTTAATAAAGAATCATGGCATGAAAATATTAAGCAATTAGAAATTTCTAAAACACGCCTAATAAAATAAATCTTTTCTCATAAAACAAAGAAATAGTTAGCCTGGAATTTTGGCACATACTCCAGAAACTTACTTCCAGTTGCTTTGTAAATAAGTATTAGTTCACCATCCTATACTTGACATTTCAAAAAATATTTGTTTAATGAATAAGCTACTTAAAAAGTGCTTTACAAAATTTAATTATAAAATATGTTTATATCATGAAGCAGTAGAAACAAGGTAATCCAAGACATTTCTTACCCATTTATTTAACAAAAACACAAACAGTACCTTTTACTGAGCCCTAAATATGTGTCAGACTCTCTGCAAGGCATATCATGTAACTCATTTTATTTAATTTTGTTTTAAGGGCCTTATTATATCCACTTGACAGATAAAAAAAAAAAAACCTGAGGCTCAGAAAATTTAAATAATTCACTCACAGCCAACAAGTGGGAGAGCCCAGTTTTTAATCTAGTCCCATGTGACTCCAGAATTCATGTTTTTTTCCACTGCACTGTTCCTTCAGCATGGAAAGCTCAATGAGATTCTAGGCAACTAAGAAATTCGCAAGATATGTGCTCCAGCTTTAAGGGGTTTAGTAATGTCAAAAGTCAGTTGGTAGGTATGGCTAGGGCAGACAAATGCCATTTTGTGGTCTGGCCTGGCTAGAACATAATCACCATTGGCCAGAACTTGTAAGGATTCAAAGAAACAGCTCATTCTATATACTGCATTTATTACAAAAGGAAAGTTAAAGAAAACCTGTGTTTTATATTTTCTTTTATACTACTGCCATTGTATATCAGGTACAAACTTTCTCATAGGACCTTAGAGGAAATAACGTGGATTGAGGGGAAAGGAGTTTCCATCTAGATCAAGGCTGAGGGCAATTCTTTTCTGGCCCCAAGGTGACTGGCAGACACCTATTTTCTTCAGGCTAAGCTCTTTAAACCTGAAGGCATTTTTATAGTTCCTCATTGTTTGACCACATGATTTTACACATGTGTAAAACACAAACCTCAGTGTTATTCAGATTTTTTGTGTGGGTGGGCAAGATATAGTTTTTTTTGTTTTTTGTTTTGGCAAGATATAATTATTAAACATTCACATATTACAAAGGGTCATTATGAGTGCTCTGGATGAACCCAGGGGTGAAGTGGGAGCTTTGATACACCATGCTGGTGAAGTCAACCATGACATAGAATCTGACAATTTTTCCCCCCAAATCGTGTGCACATTCTCTAGATCCGCAAAAGTACATGCAGACAGGACTGAGTGTTAAGAGAATAAAACTGTCAGACTTGGCCAAAGACAGGCTAGAATGCTCTGGAGCATCTCTTCATTCTGAGGGTCTTTATAAATCCAGTTCTCTATGGTCCTGATAAGAACATCAGACATAAGTCTTTCACAGTGATCTCTTCCATGGTGGGGCTTAAAAGTCACTCACAGCTTTGAAATTCCCACTGGAGAAGAGAGTAACCAAATTATCTTGGAGTCAGCTGGGAAAAGGGAGAGGGAGAAAGGGAAACATGGAGTCCGTTCACTTGCTTCTCCAAAACACGATGGTTTTGTTAAAGGTCCCAGTCTCTAGACAGGATAACTGTTGTCCAGAAGAAGCAAGGGAAACAGAACTGGCCAAAAAGTCTCTATCTTGGGCAAATCTTCATGGAGAAAGGAGATTGCAGAAAGCCAAACACTTCAGAAAGGTCGGGTCTCTAAGGTTCCATATGGGTTAACCAAAAAGTCCTATAAGCTAAGATTTGGAAGGCAACAAGGTCCTGTGCTCCTGAAGGATGAGCTCAGACAAATGACTCCTCTTCATGTGCCCTTCCTTACTTTTACCAGGACTGACACTATCATGTGTGCAGTGAGTAGTCGGGTCTGGAGGGCTTAAGGTTCCCAGAAGAGGTCAGAAGTCTGGGGCAGCCCAGGGAGTGGCAGCTTGGAGAGATTTTCCTTAATGAGAATGGATAGAAGACCTAAGTTCCTAAATGGCGCTATCTGGAAATCTCCAGCTAGAAATGGGCAACTGAAAACCAGGTCCAAATAATTACCCATGCCCCTCCATGACTGAGCCAATCTCCACACAAAAAAAACTAGATTAGAAAGCTTTTCAAGGAGCCCAGCAATATAGCCATCTATAGGCCTACTTGGCAGAAAGGTCTAAATCCACATTTATATAGAAGTGAACATTGATTCTCACGGGCTATGCCATTATAAGCAATGGAAACCTTTAATAAAACTACCAAATGAGATCATAGAAAAGGTGATTCATCAGGTAGTATGGGACATCTTGCTTATTTTATAGATGAGTGTAGTAGGCTAAAAATGTCCCCCCCACCACGAAATATCAGATCCAAATCCCTTGAACCTGTGAATATTACCTTTTTTTTTTTTTTTAAGATTTTATTTACTTATTTGAGAGAGAGTGTGAGAGAGCACAAGCAAGGGGAGGGGCAGAGGGAGAGGGAGAAGCAGGCTCCCCGCTGAGCAAGGAGCCTGATGCGGGGCTCAATCCCAGGATCCTGGGATCATGACCTGAGCTGAAGGCAGATGCTTAACCGACTGAGCCACCCAGGCGCCCCGAATATTACCTTCTTTGGCAAAGACTTGGCAGATGTGATTAAGGATCCTGAGATTGGAAATTACCCTGGACTGTCGAGGTGGGCCCTAACTGCAGTCACAGACATCCGTACCAGAGGGAGGCAGAGGGATATTTGACTTGGATGAAAGAGGAGATAGGAAAGTGACCAATGGAGGCAGAGATTGGAATGATAAAGCCACACACCAAGAAATGCTGGCCGCTACCAGAAGTTTCAAAAGGCAAGGAAGGAATTCCCCGTTACAGCCTCCAGAGGGAGGCTAACAGCTTGATTTCAGCCCAGTGAAATGGAGTCTCAACTTCTGACCTCCAGAACTATGAGGTAATACGTTTCTGCTGTTTGAAGTCACCAAGTTTGTGGTAATTTATGATAAGAGCCATAGGAAACTAATACAAGGAGAAAAGAGAAATCAGTCTCACTGAAATGGGAATTAGTTCTATCTGCTTTTTCAAAGGAAGAGCCAAAAGTTCTCAGAAGAAAAAATACTTCTGGTTATTCAAAGTCACTGGGCCAGGACCCACGAGCCAAATTTCAGTTTGAACAAGGAATAGATGAGCAAGTGACAACTGAATATTTCTACACGTGGGAAATATGCTGGCACATAATTCAGTGAACTGTGATGGCAAAACCCAAATTGCCAAAATGAAACACTGGTAGGAAATGTCCAAAATGATCACTGAGTCTAGTTGCCATGGAGCTTGCTACTGAAGAGGCCCCAAGAAACTGGGGGGTGAGGACAAGAGTAATCATTAACACAAAGACACTGATCCTTCTCTGCTCAGAAAATGAAAGGGCCCAAGTTTAATGATCCCATTGTGCTCTCCATTAAGTTGTAATGAATTACTTTCTATCCTATGGGAAATGTGCTCTCAATTTCTTAAAATGTCTGTGTTATCTTGAGCACAAATTCAGACTCCAGGAGAAGAGGTAATTGGACAGAATTCACAACACTGCGAATGCACTGTATTATTTTCTAAGTGTGGGCCTGGAAGGCTCTGTTTGTTGTGTTCCAGTAACATTGATGAAGATGGATGATCTTTCCTCCACAATGGCACAGTGGCTTAAACGTAATTACTGGCTTTATGGAAAAGAAAAAAGGCCAGACATCAGAAACCTCAAAACCAAAACACTTTGCTTTTTAATGATTCCAAATGATCTAAACATGCACTGGAATGAAAATCACTCAATTAGCCCTCTGCTCTACTTGGAGTGCTTTATAGAATTCAATTCATACTTTTTTAACACATTCTTTGAAATGAACAATAAATCTCTAAAATTGTAAAAAGCTTTCATTTCATAAAATTTGATGATTCACTTTCTCTGTGTCTGTGTGTGTTTATCTCTTCAGGGTATAAGATTTTCAGCACAAGTTTCATGATTTAGCTTTTCCCATTTAGGCAGATGGGATATGATGGTGAAAAACAAGACTGTTACTTGATTATCTTGGTAGGTTGACATGGTGTGGTTTAAATAATAGTGAATTTATTCTGGGATAAGAAAATATTTTGAGCTATAACATAACAAATGTATCCCTTCAATTACTCCTACCTCCAGCATATGATATTAAGCATAATTTCTAGATTTCTTTCACAAGCTATAGCCATCCAGAGTCACTGATTAAAATGGTCATTTTTATTTATCCACTGGAAAAGCAAGATGATTTATGTGCAAAATGAAACAACGGCTTTGTCTGGAAACCATTTCGTCCTTTAAGGTAAAGATGTGAAAGCGAACTCAACCATCAACTGCCTAAAACATTCTCCCAATTGGACATTTAGCAGTGGCTAACTGAAATTAGAAAATTTGAAATTAGAAAAACTGGTGAAGAAAGCCAAAAAGCAATCGAAGACATTTGATGACATGAACATGGCTGAAAGTTCTGAACTCCTTCTACAATTGAACTTGATTCCTGCTTGAGTCATATCTCTTTTCACCAACCAGACTGAAGAGGGCTGATCAAAGCACGAAATACATGCTCAATAAATGTCTTCGGTAAATAATTTTAGAGAAAAGGTTGTGATTATCTCCTCACCTCCAAAGTCTGTCTCTACCACTTCTTTTATGTCCCAAATTGTTCTGGAGCTGCTGGGTAGTCAATCTGAGCCATGATGAAATGGCTCAGAGTCAACCAGGGTCCTATTTGACAGAGGCCATAAAATTGCAGATTTTAGGAAAAGATTTACATTCCATTCGCACATGAAAAAGGAGAGAGATCTGGAAATGGGAAAGCCAGGAAGATGAATAATAAGTTTCTTCCTCTTCCTAAGTCACAAATAAAACTGCATTTTTGAACACACAAGCCTAAACAAAATGGGAATGTCTTCAGATTAATGTCAGTTGTACTGAATTTATTGACGATGCCCTGCTTTCCCCCCCAATATTAATGTACTGCTTTAATGTCTTCTAATTTTATTTTGATAATAGCACATGTTATTTTCATACTCAGAAACACATGCACACGGAAAGATTCAGAGTTAGCACTTTGGTTTCTAGCTTTACAGAGTTTTCTCAGCATACTCTCTCCTCTCCCCACATTATTGATGTGTTTTGTGACTACTGAAGCGGAAGAGTAGTCAGGGTATTTCAATGACATTTATTCATAGACATTTAGTCAAACATGTCCTGCCAGACCCACCTCAACTTTGCCACAGCAGCTGCTCTGGGGAGGAGCCCTTCCACTGGGTCCTCCTCCTTCTGGCCGCTGGGGTGGGATCTTCGGACCCTGTCCCCAGCCCCGGGTCCTCATTCTGCCTTCCAACCTCTGGTCTGCTCAAGGTCGAAGTGCTCCATCCAGGCAGGAGGACCTGACATTTCCTCAGCCCCCTGCTCTCATCATCACTCAGGGAAGTGTGTTCCAGAACACCAGGGGGCTCTTCCCCAAAGGGAAAGGGTAGTTGGGTTACGGGGTGACAGGCAAATGTCACCCTCTTCTAATGACCTCATTTCAATTCATTAAATCATTGTAGCACATTAGGATAAACATGGCAGCCAATTCTGGTGTCCCAGAAAAATTGCCTTCCCCTGTGAAACCAGTCTTTTGGCTACCGGGAGAGGCAAGGAACCTCTCACATTTCCAAGAACAAAAAGATAGTAACAGCCTTAGCTAGCATTTAGCTCGTGTCTGCTGCATGTGGAGCAGTGTGCTAGGCATTTTGTACCCACAATCCATGTTAATCCATACACAAGCTCCTAGAAGAAAGGACAGCCTGGTAGAGGGGAGCATGACCTAGGGTCAGAAGCCCTGGGTTCAAATCCAGGTTCTGCTGCTCCTGGGCTGTGTAACTGTGGGCAGATTGCTGAACGTCCCCATGCTTTAGGATCCCAGCCTGTAAGGTGAGATGATGAGTAGTAAAGAAGCAAGTTTAGGACAGCATGCGGGACGTGATGAATGTTCAAAATGGCTTCAATTATGATCACTACTGTTTTCCTCATTTTACAGATGAGGAAACTGGGGTTTCAAAGATATTTAATTTGCTCTAACTCACAGAGCTAATCCAGGTCTGATGTTAGAGGCCAAGGGACTTGTCCTCAGCCACGAGCAGTCAGCAGAAGATCAAGGAGCAGCAACAGGGCGCCCGATTCCTAAGTGAGGTGTTTGCCTCACACTCACACACCACGGGCAGAGAGTGTGGGCCACTGAGCTGAATTTCTACAGCATCTACATATATCTTAGATATTGCTTTCCGACGCAGGAATTGTCACGTCCAGGAGTATACTTGCATAAAAGACCTGATATACGGTTTGGTGCCTTAGATACAATAAAAGGAGCTTGCCTTTGTCCTCCGAGACAAAAGCACTAGGCTGCGCTGCTGGCACGGTGGGTGCTGGACTTGGGAGGAAAAGGCCTTGTGTGTTGAGAAGAGCCACTCACCTGGTCCATTCGAGAAGAATGAAGCTCATATCTCACCACACCTGACTTGTGGCACTTCCCAGGCTGTGCTTCCAGACCAGCCTGCCCCTGTCTCCACAGGAAAGACCAAGAGTTGGGCCCAAGGCTCCTGGTCCCAGACACCCCTTTGCAGGTCCCTTACAGCCCTGAGCCCCAATCTAACACCTCACTTGCACCAGCGACCACCTGCCATTGCTAATACCTTCCCTTGACACTTGCCTCTTGGTTCTTGAAGTGGAAGGAATAATGAGAGGAAAAATAAAATCTTAAAATAATTGGATTATAATCGATCAAGACTTTTACTGCCTGCGCCAGAGCCTTATAACTAGGTTGGGGTTTTAGTTCCTGTTTATAAGTGTGTTGTATTATAAAAGCAGTTTGTTTTCATAGGAAAAGGTATTACAAACAGTGGGTTCAGATTACCAGGCTAGCCCGCTGTGGTAGACTGTTCTGTTCTGTTCTGTTGTTCCAGTTATTCAGGGCCTCCTCTCTGTGCGATGACTGACTGTCCTTCCCCAACCCAATGACATCAGGTTTGCTAATGTGACTTTCTTTAGTCAGTGAGATGTGAGCATAAGTGACACATGGCACATCTGAGCACAACTCGAAGAGTCATCATGTGGTTCTACCCTCACTTCTTTTTCCTTTGCAGTAAATACAGCCACTGCCCAAGAGAGGGGCTGCCCTTTGACCTTGGGCCCTGGAATGAGGGAAAGATGGAGAGCAGACCCACAGCTACCCCACAGCCCATACACAGTATAAGGGAGAAATCAACTCTGTTATTGTAAGTCATTGAGATTTGGGAGTTACTTGTTACTGCAGCGTTAACTAGTGGATGCTGGCTACCATATTCACTACAGCTTAGTAGACTAGATTCATCTAAAATAGCATATATTTGCAATGAAAACTAGTGGAAACTCATGCTTAAAATGGTCACCATCTAAAAAAGTGGGTTTTGTTTTTTAAAGAACTAGGGTTAGAGCCAAGGCGTCTTTATAGAGCTGATATCATTCTTGTCATTATTCAAAATGCAAACTGACCCTGGGCAGGTTTTGATGCCTTTGGACACATTAAGTTCCTCACAGAATTTAGTTTTCGACCTAATTTATTTTTTCTTCCTCCAGAGGGCATCTGTAAACTAGAGAATTCATACTTCCTCTTTTTCAGTGCTACACTCAGAGCTTTTGCTAGCCTCATGGTCTGCGCCCTTAAATGCATCCCAAAGGCAGCTGCAAGGCCAAAGCCAAATTCAACTTTGTTACATCACACAGGAGAGAAATGGCATGAAGGTTAAAGGCAGACATGTGGCTCACTCTTACTATGTCTCTAAATTTGACTTTGGAGTGTTTTTATTCCTTAGGATGTAAAGCCACAGCCAAATCATCGATCAAATCTGTGTACACAATGTTTAAGAATGGAAAAAGCAAGAATTAGTTATATTCAAGAAGACCATTTGGGAACATAGACTTTTAGAAAATGAAATCACGTATGACAGTCAGTCACATTCCTAGGATGCAAAAGAAAAAAAAATACATATCAAAAGGCTTGAAGGCTTATCCATTTAAATAAAAAGGTATGTGGATGGTGGTGGTGGTAGAAAGCTAGTGAAGTTTAAAACAGATGGTTCTGGATACAGATTAGATACACACACATACAGATTTATGTGTATACGTATAACTATACTATGCTAAATAATGTATATAATTTTACATATTAAATCATATGTAAAATATGACATATCCTGCGGAATTTACTCCTGCGCCTCCGCTTTGGGTTTCCTTTGAAATCTTTCTTCATGATAAAAGGATTCCTTTTCGTTTATTAGACACAGAGTTTGAAGTTGCTTAGAGTTTTCTGACCATTGTGTCATGCTGTGCTCGCTACAAAGTGTTTGGTTTGAAAACCAGCACAGCTGAAATGGTCATTGCCTGGGCAAAGGGGCGCGTCGGCTGGGCTTAACAGGATGAAGACAAGCGAGGGGCCACCCTGCAGAGCCACCCAGCCCTGCCCAGCTGCACGGACCTCAGGACTCACCAGATTCTGCGTAAACACGGAAACATCCTCCGTGCTGTTGTCAGAATTGACTCGCACCAGCCTCCCGAGTCTAGGGGAACTTATAACCGTAAAAGTTACAGTTCTGTTTCCTATGCTGTCCGCGTCACTGGTCACAGCTCTCAGGTCACCAGATGAAAGGGGCTTCATGGAACCTAAGTGAAGATTAAAACATGCCCTGAAGTATGAGGCATAGGAAGGCTGCCAGTTAACAAAATGACCTTTATAGACCCCTGAAAATTCTGGAAAACACATGTTTATATGGGGGGGACAGGCTGGCAAGAAACTGGGCTGTGAGGGGCTAGTGATCCCCACGGCATCTATTTAAGGATGAGATTTGCTCCTGGGGCTGGAGATGAAGGAGGAAAACCTGATGA